AAAAAAAAAAAAAGAAAAACAAAAACACAAAGGAAAAACTTGTTTCCAATAATCTGCACCTACCTACAACCTGACTATTTTGTTCATAAACACAAATTGTTTTGGCTCCAAGAATGCAAGGACCATGAAAGTCTGGGCTTTGTTTTGTTTGCAAATTGCAAATGTTGTTCACAAGTTTGGAAAATGATGTCCCCAGCACCTATGTTGCTGTCTTTGCCTCACCAGTGTCCTCCCCTGCATTAGTTGGTGCTTGTTGCTGTCAGTACAAAGCACTGTGACACTACACTGTGATGCTAGGACAGGCAAAGACACGGGACAACCTCATCATGTGTCCCAGTGGGGCATACCCAAGCATTACCCACTGAACACATGGTTTATTGCTGTGTAAATTACTCTCACTTTCCTCCTCCCTTGTACTAGTTATGGCATCATACTATGATTTTATTTATTTATTTTGTGACGGAGTCTTGCTCTGTTGCCCAGGCTGGAGTGCAGTGGCTCGATCTCCGCTCAAAGCAACCTCCGCTTCCAGGGTTCAAGCGATTCTCCTGCCTCAGCCTCCTGAGTAGCTGAGACTACAGGAGGTGCCACTACACCCAGCTAATTTTTTTTTTTTTTTTAAAGTAGTGATGGGGTTTTACCACGTTGGCCAGACTGGTCTCGAACTCCTGACCTCAGGTGATCCCCCTGCCTCGGCTTCCCAAAGTGCTGGGATTACAGGTATGAGCCACTGCACCCTGCCCCACCCAACACTATTATTTTAAAATAATCTTTGTAAATCTGTGTAATTACCTCTTTCCTCTTGAATTAGGACCAGTGGCATTGCAAAATATTAGTTTTTAGAAGTGGGTACTGGGCTGGGCACACCTATAATTCCAGCACTTTTGGAGGTTGAGGTAGGAGGATTGCTTGACACCAGGAGTTTGAGACCAGCCGGGGCAGCCTAGTGAGACCCCATCTCTACAGAAAAAAAATTGTTTTAAGTTGCGCATCCTGATGTACACCTGTAGTCTCATCTACTCAAGAGGCTTAGGAGGGAGGATCTCTTGAGCCCAGGAGGTCAAGGCTGCAGTGAGCTGTGATCATGCCATGGCATTCCAACCTGGGTGACAGAGCAAGAAACCGTCTCCCCGCTCAAAAAAAAGTGGTCACTGGAAAAAAAATGCCCCTACATCTAATCAAACCTTTAAATGTTACAGCAATAATGGGGATAGACAAACATGCTACATGAAACTATGAGGAAGCAAACAGGTAAGTCCAAAAGAGTGTGAGGCATACCTCAGGACACATGACCCATGTTTTTTGCCCTCTAACGGCTTCAAACAAGAGGCAATGAGGATCTGTTACAGAATAAAAGAGACTTAAGAACAAACAACCAGTCAGGGGTGGTGACTCATGTCTGTAATCCTGACACTTTGGGAGGCCGAGGTGGGCAGATCTCTAGAGGTTAGGAGTTCGAGACCAGCCTGGCCAACATGGCGAAACCCCCTCACTACTAAAAATACAAAAATTAGCTGGGCGTGATGGTGGGCACCTGTAATCTCAGCTACTCAGGCGGCTGAGGCAGGAGAATCACTTGAACCCAGGAGGCAGAGGTTGCCGTGAGCCGAGATCACGCCATTGTACGCCAGCCTGGACGACAGAGTGAGATTCCATCTCAAAAAACAAAAGGAGGCCGGGCGTGGTGGCTCAAGCCTGTAATCCCAG